TCAGCCAGTGAGCGGGAACCTGTCTCCACATGGGATCTGAACCCTCGGCGGGAGTGCTGCCGCACTCCCAAGCGGCGCACTCTCCAGTGCGCCACCGGGCCAGCCCTCAATTATTTGTATTTTGGCCAAGTGTTTAGTCTTTGAAAGTCCCAAGTTATCAAATCAACATGCTTGATGTTGATAAATGTAAAATGTGACAGTTCATATACTCCTCTGCTACTGTGGTTTTCAAGGTATGGACCACAGACCACAGCATCCCCTGAGAACACATTACAAGTGCAAATTCTCAGGTCCCCAATCCCAACTACTGAATAAGAATCTTGGGGTGGGGAGGGGGCACAGGAATCTGTATCTTAACATGCTAAAGTTTAAGAACCAGCTATAGTAATTCAAACACACCTGCACTCACTTGTGGATACTAATCAAGGCAGTCAGAGCAAGCACATAATTATCCAAGTTGAGAGATGTGTAAAACCATAATTCATTGTTTTTCACTTTATTAGAATCTGCTTCAGGCTTGAGACATTTCCACATCTATGTTATAAGTGTATAGGAGGGAGATATAGTCAAGAGGAAAATCTGCAAAGATTAGATCTTGTTCCTAAGTGACAAATAGCCACAGGGCCACCATATTGTTTTAAAGTATCCAGAGGACACATTCTTACATGACAGAAGCATCTCTCTGCAGATGTTCCTTCCCTCTGTTAATGCATGTTGTCTTAATCTGGGTCTCCAGTGTTGCTCTCATAAAGAGAGTTTGTCTGCCTCTATCGTTATACGTCTTTTCCCGCTATCTTTTGGTTCACCTTTCCACTTTTAGTCTCTTTTCCATAACAGATATCTAATATTATTTTGTTCTTATTGATCCAATGTACTGCACTTAACGAAAGAATTTTGCATTCCCTTTTCTTAATTTTAAAAGCAAACAAATAGAATATATGTTATTAAGATGTAAGGTTGCATTGCTTTCAAATTTATGTTTCCCTTTGAGGTTTTCTTTTCTTTCACTCTCTATAGCTGGAAAAATATTTGGAAAAAAGTTTTTAGGGAGATTAGAGTAAGACTAGTCATTTTTTTAATTATAGTTTTTGCAAAGTTTGAGCCCACTTCTTCCTTCTTAGTTATGAAAATAAAGGAGGTGATTATATTTGGTCTGAAATAATAAGGCCCAATTAGTGTGGAAAACCCTCCAGATCATCTGTGCTCTCTGTCCCGTTCTTCCCCCGACACCCTACTCCACTCTCTCTACTCTGTTGACAGAGCCTCGAGGACTGACAGGGCCTTCCTCTGTTCATTTACTTTTGCTTTTTTTGTAGGTAGTGTGTTTCTATTGAAAGATAACATACATACAGAAAAAGGCACAGGTCATAAGTGTACATCTGAGTGAACTTTCACAGAGTGAACATAACCTGTGCAATCAGTACCCAGATCAAAAACTGGAACATTACCAACATCCAGACACCACTCCCCACTCCAGTGCCTTCCCCTGTACTCACTTCTCCTCCCCAAGGTGAACACAGACCTGACTCTCAAAGTCCTAGACTCATTTTGCCTGTTTTTGGACTTTATATATATAAGTAGAATCATACCAGTGTGTTGCCTGTGTCTGGTGTCTTTAACATTACATTGGTGAGATTTATCCATGTGTTGCAGGTAGCATTAGTTTATTTCCATTGCTGTTTTATACTTATATTGAGACCACACCACAACTCGTCTATTCTACTGTTGATAAACATTTGGATTGTTCCCAGTCTGGGGATATTATGAATTCTTGTACCTATCCTTTGGTATACTTACATATGCATTTCTTTTGAGTTTCTAGCAATGGAATTGCCATGTCATAAGATATAAATATGTTCATCTTTAGTAGAGGCCGTGAACCAGTTTCCCAGAGTGGTTGTAACAGGTAACACTCCCAGCAGCAGTGTATGAGAGTTCTAGTTGCTTCACATCCTTTCTGGCACTTGGTATTGTCTTTTTAATTCAGCTGTTCTGCTGGGTGTGTGTGGTTCCTCACTGCAGTTTTAATTTGCATTTCCTTGGTAACCGATAATGCTGAGCACCAGTGTTCGTTGATCTTTAAGATATCCACTTTTTGTCAAATGCCTGTTCAAATCTTTGCCCATTTAGCTGTTGGGTTGTCTGTCCTGTTGATTTTTAGGAGTTAGTTATATATTCTGGACAAGAGCCAGAATATCCAGTTGGATATATATTTTGCATATATTCTCATCCTCTATGTCATTTGATGAATAGAAGTTCTTAATATTAATAGGGTTTAATCCTTTCCTTTATGATCATATTAAAGAAGCCTCTGCCTTTATCATAAAGATATTCTTCCATGTTAAAGTGCAGAAACTTTAGATCTACATTGAAATATATAATCTAGCTGGAATTGATTTTGAAAGTTTGAGGTCGGGTTGTCAATATTCATTTTCACTGATACATATTTTCTCAGAACCATTAGGATTTGGGGGTTTGTGGGTGGTTGCTTTTCTTTGATAAACTTTTTAATATTAGAATAGTTGCAGATTTACAGAAGAGATGCAAACATAGCGTAGAGAGTTCCCGCATCCCCTCAACCAGCTTCCCCATCTTCATCGTCTATTACTGTAATACATTTGTCAGAGCTAGGGGATCAGTATTGACACGCTATTATCAACTAACGTCCATACTTATTCAGGTCAGAGCCATTCGGTTTTTGTTTTTTTTTTTTTTTCCTTTTTGTCTTTTTTACTGACCAGTAATGGGATCGCAACCCTCGGTGTCGCACCCGTACCGGGGACCGGCAACGGGATCGCAACCCTCGGTGTTGCGCCCACACCATGCTCAGCCAGTGAGCGGGAACCGGTCTCCACATGGGATCCGAACCCTCGGCAGGAGCGCCACCGCGCTCCCGAGCGGCGCACTCTCCAGTGCGCCACCGGGCCAGCCCGGGCCATTCGTCGGCAGGAGCGCCACCGCGCTCCCAAGCGGCGCACTCTCCAGTGCGCCACCGGGCCAGCCCGGGCCATTCATTTTTGACAAATGAAAGTGTCATTGAGGAATACTTTGGGACCACATGCTGTTAATGAAACCTCAAATAACTGAATGTCCACTGTAGCAAGAGTCAGCTATCTTTGGTGCCATCTTAAGCCAGAGAATTCTGCAGGGCTCAGATAGTGTGAACGTAGGGGTCCTGTGAGACCATGGGAAGGAAGTGTGGAAATCCTACAGTTAAAGGCTCCCCACCTGTGCAGTCAACTTGAACTCTCATCCTCGGTTTTGAAAAATCTTCATTTTTCAGTTTCGGAACTCTTTTGAAACTCCAGAGTTTTGGACTGCTTTAGTCCTACAGACTTTAGTTTTGTAATCTTTAACCAGTGTTTGGAATACATCGATAATGAATAGCTTTCTATTTTGTATTTTTTTTAATTGAAACTTCATTGATTGTACATATCTGTGGGATACCATGTTGAATATCAATACCTTCATGTAATATGTGGTGTTCAAATCAGGATAATTAGCGATGAACAGCTTTTTAGAGTCAATATTAATGTCAGATGCCGTGGGGAGGGAGAACTCACTGTGCCCCCTTGGCCTTGACTGTGAGTCTAGAGAGCTGGAGCCCTGATCCTGTCTTCTCCCTCCTTAGCATGGCCCTGGGGAGCATCGCCATCATCCCCAGCTCTGAGGAAAGCGAGACAGACAGCCACGGAGACCGTTAGACCTTTCACTGCTCTCTTTTCTGTCACTTGCCACTTCTAGACTTCAAGACTTCACTATGACAAACTTCAGTGGTGCCAGTGTGTTTGAAAGTATCCCTGACGGTCTTAACTATTTTTGGTTTATAACTTAAAGTGCAGACTAAGCCCTGGTGCCCATCTGTCACTTTGAGAACAGACATTTAAATTATATTGATAAAGCAAGGAAGGCCAGCCAGCTATCCCCATTAATATTTTATGAAAGTTTCATTGTTCTTTCACGCGGCTGTCACATGTACCCTGGACAACACTTAGAGCTGACATAGTGACCCCGGGAAGCACATGTGTACACGTGGGTCACTTTGTCTTTGTCCTGATTCTCCTCAGTACCATGAGCTCCCGACACTCTGCCAGCCCGGTTGTCTTCACCAGTGCCAGAAGTTCCCCTAAAGAAGAGCTTCTTCCCGCCACCTCCTCACAGCTCGCTCCTTCCTTCTCCTCCTCCTCCTCCTCCTCATCTGGCCCTAGGACTTTCTACCCTCGCCAGGGCGCTACTAGCAAGTACCTGATTGGGTGGAAAAAACCCGAAGGAACCATAAACTCCGTGGGATTTATGGACACAAGAAAGTAAGAGTTCTTTTGCTTCTCTTGCTGGGTGGCTTGCTTTCAGCAACAGGGAACAAAAGATTGGGGTGGTTTCTTAGAGCAGAGGAGGCTGGGCTGGGATAGGGTGGGATGGGGTGGGGGTGGGGGTTGTTGGTTTTTTTTCCTAAGTAACATTTTTCTTAAACTATTTCTCTGCCTCCTTCCATAAATAAGATGTGTTGTAAAACATTGGGACTTGAGAACCTTAGATCTCCTAGGAAAGAGTATGTCTGAAGGACACAGCTCAGAATAATTGACCCTCTGCACTAAGACCACACTCACCCTTTGATCCCTTTGATTATAGTAATGACAGTCTTCCCGTGTAACTCTTCTTAACTGGGCAGTAAGCACAGAGGGAATATTAGAAAGTGAGTGAGTATTACTGAAAATAAAGGACTTTTTGACAAAGTAGTATAGCAAATAATTAAATGATTCATTCAATTATTTTGTTTTTGTTTGGGCAAAGGTTGCTTTTACTAAAAGACACCCTGTGGTCTTTTAGTAAGTCTGTTGCTAATTTTGGCTTAGTAGAAATAATAGTTTCCTGTACAAGAGTGTTTTATTCACTGGATTTTATTTTGTGTTTCAAATTGGTTTGGTTTCCATAACAAGCATTTATCTGAGTATATGCTGATGTGATTGAACAAAAATAATTCTCTTTTTCTCTCCGTTAATACATTTCTCCATTGACTTGCATCCTTCAGAGCCCGTCATGCCTTTGAGTTAACCTTGTTGGCTTGGTTGCTACCCTCTCTCCCTTTCTTTCAAGGCGTCATCAGAGTGATGGCAATGAAATAGCCCACACCAGGCTGCGTGCCTCAACCAGGGACCTCCGGACATCCCCCAAGCCAACCTCCAAGTCCACCATCGAGGAGGATCTAAAGAAACTGATTGACCTTGAAAGCCCAACTTCTGAATCACAGAAGAATTTTAAGGTACAGGATAGAGCTTGGTGTAGATAGTAGCTGGGGAGAAGCTAGATGTGATGGGGCTGTTTACCATAGTTACACCTTCCAGAAAGTGTTGGTTTCTGGCTCCTCTTCACTGGATCCCACTTCCCGCCATCATCCAATTTTCCCCATAATTAATTCACAGTGTCTTACAATGTTCTGTCCCTGCAGCCACCTCTCTTTAGTCTTGGTTTCTGTTAACCTGTCCCTACGCCCACAGCTGTTTCTTCTTCTAGTGTATCCCACTCAATGTTCATGATTCCTTGAGCATAACTTATATGATGGTGCAGACACCCCTGTGGCTCCCTTGTTATGTAGAAAGTTCTCCATAATGGCTTTACTGCCACCTTTCCAAGAGGGTCCTCCTCCTCTCACAAATTCCTCCTAAATCGCTTCCTGCCCATATACCCACAGCACTGCACTCTGATCTTGCCTCTGCTCCGACCCTAGCCAGCAAACCTACTGTCTGTACATGGTGTGCTCTTCAGTCACTCAGGGGAACTGCCTGATGGATGGTCACCGTCATCCCCACCACCCCAAAGTAAACAAGCAGCCATCTCTTCAGTCCAGCAAACTAAGTTTACATACATACCTTCAGAACTTTCCAGGCTCTCTTTCCTTCATAAAAGCCTCCTCTCTATTTCACTCAGAATTCCAGACTGTAAATGCCTTCTCTAAAACCCAGTCTCCCTCTCCAGTAAGTTTGTGTGTCAGTGGCCAGACTTTGGATGACCACATGAGAAGGTTCGTTCTGCTCACCTCAGCTTGGGAGAATTTTGAAGCTTACTAGAGGCTCTCAGCTTTCTTGTCCTCTAAATGTGCAATCTCATGTTCCCAGGGATTGGGGCTGTGTTTAGTGAGCTGGGCCTGAAGGTATTTCACTCTGAGTATAAGGTATACCTGTCTGAGGTGTGTTGGGTAGTCCCAAGAGAAGGGAGTCCACCTCTAGGTTCTTAGTTCAATGATTTGTAGTCTGTTTGAGGTGACTGGTATACTTTAAGAAGAAATATAAGAACTGATTGAAAATGGAATCTAGAATATTTCCTTAGTAACTCACCAGCTTCAGCTGTACTCAGAGGGCAGGAGGCATGCCAGGCTGGAGGAACCACGTGGTCTTGTCACCTTCAGCCTTTCCCGTTACCGTGCTTGTGTGTGCACATGTACATGGGCGTTTTTCCCCACATAGGTCAGATTCACCTCCTAAACTTAAAAATCAACATTTATATGAATTAAATGTACCCCAAGGACCACTCTGGAGTTTGCTGAGAAATAAGTGATTTATTAACATGGTTTATTATGTTACTAATTTTATAGGTGTAGCCATTCTTGATGTCTGTAATTTCTGTTTCATAAGACAGTGCTCAGCGGTTCTGACTCATCATCCAGGGTACAAGTGGTTTCCGTAGCAACCTTGCAAAAGATACTGCTTGAAACTTCTTTATCCATCAAAATCCAAAGAAGTCTATTAAAATTTTTAAGTACCAGTTTCAAAATAAAAATTGTTTCCGATTTTTCTTTTGAGGTTAGAGGAAAATAAAACTTGCCCTGAAAAATATCTTTTTTCCAATTCCTATTTTAGTGTTTTTGGCAAGCAGCCAGCTCAGAACTCTTATTCTTTTTGATTTATTCATGCAGTGGAAATAATTGAAGGCAGATATCTGTTTTGCCCTTATTCCAGGTCTTGCCTTTTATTTCCAAAATGAATTACTTTTTTTTTTTTTTTCCTTTTTGTCTTTTTTTTGTGACCGGCAACGGATCGCAACCCTCAGTGTCGCGCCCGTACCAGACTGGGACCGGCAACGGGATCGCAACCCTCAGTGTTGCACCCGCACCTCGCTCAGCCAGTGAGCGGCCAGTCTGTATGTGGGATCCGAACCCTCGGCGGGAGCGCCGCCACGCTCCCAAGCGGCGCACTGTAGCAGTGCGCCACCGGGCCGGCCCATCCAAAATGAATTACTTTAACATTCTTGTTTGAAACAGGGGTGCACTTTCTTTATGTTGTGACTGTGTTACTGTGAGACCCTCTGCAAAGAAAATCCTTCTGCTGGCTAAGCCATCACAGTAAGAAGGCTGGAAGCAGGAGCTGGAAATATGCTGTTTTCTCTCTCCAGTTTCATCCTTTTTGGGCTCATTTCGTTTCAAATTAGTTCAGCTAAATAGCTCCGTGTGTCTTCTGAGTGTCATCATCCGAATGACCAGGGTTCTGCTGTGTCAGTAAGGCCAGTGTGCCCTTGAGAAGTCTTCTGGCCACTCCTAGCTAATGGTTCCACGCCACTGCATCAGGCTTCAGGGTATAAGGAGTGGCTAACTCAGCTGTGATACTTGGAACCATTCACACATCACACTGGCTTTCTTAGATCGCCAGTGCTACCTATGAGCTGTTGTTAATATCAGATGGAAGGGTCACCCCCAGGCTCCTTTGCCAGCAGAGAGAGACGAATGTAGCTGGGAAGTGGGTGGCAGTAGGGCCCTGTGCAGCTGCTGCAGAGCTCCTGCCTCAAGAATGACAGCAGAGCTCTAACATTCTGAGCAGCTTCACTGGCAAGCAGAGATGGGGTAACCTTATTTTCCCTGAGGGCAGCATACAAACTGGGGAGTGAACAGACAGTAGTGCAAACCATCAGTCCTGTTCTCCAGCCAACACTCTCAGACAGATCAAAGGAAGAGGCTTGAAGTATATTAATATTTCCCAAAGATCCTGAAACTAGAATTGGTGGAGAATTTCTCTTCTGTAAAACCAACAGGGTGGGTATACTCTCTGGAAAAGGAAATTGCCAAACCAGAGGTTCTAAAAAAGGTCTAGCTACAGTTTTTGAACACAGAGATCTGAGATCTGGGCTTGTTGGCAAGAGCTTTATGTGATAGTGCTGGAACCTTGCAAATGCAGGAGAGATGATCTGGTTTTATTTAAGAAAAAAAAAAATTACAGTTAGCAAGCCATTTATCCTCTTATGTGTCCACTCTTCTCTCCATGAAGTGAGAAGGAAATTGAATTGAATTGTCACTTCCATTAAAGTTCTCTCTCAAAAAGCGTTTATCACAGCAGCTCAGTTTTGTAGGCAAGCACATATGTACCTCGTATTTAACTCATCGTGAATTTTTACCCAGTCGGTTACACTGTGGGCTTATTTACAGTGTGTTTGATTAATACGTTTTTCATATTTGTACAGCAGCTGTGCACACCACATTGAGGGTAACTTTCACTTGATTAACCCTTGGCTTGTTGAACAGAAGCGTGCTAGGCCCCAGGACACATGAATGAGCCTGAGCATCAACTCTGTATTTCTGGTCTGTAATCAGCCTCCTAAAGGGAGCCATTGCTAATTCATTCTCCCTCTGCCCCTTCAAAGTGTCGTGGAAAGTCCCACAATGACTGTCTACCAGCAGTGACTCAGATCTCCTGACACCTTCACTCCGCCTTGTTCTGTTGAGGTGACAGGGAATTCCTAAGAGGGACTGGATAAGGAAAATTTTATTGTTCATGGGTCACATACTCTGTTGGCTTTCAGGTTGCTGGATATTTAAATATTTTTAATGTGTCTGTTGTTTCTCAGTGAAAGGATTCTCAAAAGCTTGCTATTTGCAGAAAAATCTCAAGTAAAACCACATTTGGTCACAGAAGCAAAAGACACCGAGAGATACACCTGTCTGGAACTGTTTGTCATTTATACATAAATATTTTTCATTTACACATAAATATTTGTCATTTATAAAACCAACTTCCCTATTCTTATTTCATGAATAAAGATGCATCTTCAAAAAATAGATTCTCCCTGAAACTCATGAAATATATTTACTTCGAGAGGTTCAATTAATGTAACTTAGTAATTCTTGTTTATCAAGAGCCACCTATTATTTGAGTTAATATATTTTGATGATCAAGTGCTCTTGTTGCCCAGGAAACATAGTCTCACTTGGCAAGCTTCTGAGCATACCCTTCCTGGCACTGTGACTCTCTGTTCCTCTGGGAACCATGACTTTATGGTACCGCTGATACATGCTGTTGCGATCAGTCTAGCATTTCATATTAATCTTTATGAAAATCCTGAGAGAGATTCTGCCCCCATTTTACAGACAAGGATTTAGACCCAGAGAAATTACATGATTTGATCAAAGACACAGGATTCCAACAAAACTCACATTTGTCTGACCCTAAAGTCTTGTTCTTAACCACGTAATATTGACATATATTCTTAATCACACATCTGAACTGCATCTGAGCACTGACAGGCTGTGGGCAGCGTGCTGGGCTTTGAGGTTGTAGGCATGGTGGGGCTGTGCAGGCCCCTTGCCAGGTGCTCCCAGGACTGGAGGGGGCGTGTCTAGGGCAGTGACTTTGTCACCCCGCCCACCCCCCAACTTTGGTCTCAGGTATCAGAACCAGAGGTTGACTCTCTTGTCTTGTCTTTTTCAGTTCCACGCACTCTCCTCTCCTCAATCTCCTTTCCCCACCACCCCCACCTCGAGGCGGGCCTTGCACAGAACGCTGTCAGACGAGAGCATTTACAGCGGCCAGAGGGAGCACTTTTTCACCTCAAGGGCTTCGCTTCTGGACCAAGCCCTGCCCAATGACGTCCTCTTCAGTAGCACATACCCTTCCCTCCCCAAGTCTCTCCCCTTGAGGAGGCCTTCTTACACCTTGGGAATGAAGTCGTTGCATGGTAAGTGTAATTTCAGTCCCAGCTGAGCAGCCCTGTGGTGACAGCAGTGTCCCCAGACGTGGCTGCCATTCAGTTTGCTCAGAGGATGGTCTGTGGAGGAAGCTCTGCTTCCCTGCACATGTTATTTCTGCTCCCCCAGCCCTCTAATTCACCCTCACCCCACCTGGAGTATCAGACCTTATCAAGACTCGCCGAACATCTCCAAACATCCCAGCTGCTTTTATGACTGGGAAAATCTAGCTAACACTAGATTAGTTATTTCTTAGAGTTGTATCCACTGCTTCCTGCAACCACCATAAGAATCCAGACTTGCCATCGCTCTTTTTCAGGCTGTAAGGATGTTGCTGGTGGTGTCAGCCCACATTTGTTGACTCATTCATTCATTCATTTATTCATTCAGTGGGCTAGTGAGTATTATTTAAGGAAAAGGCATATTGATAATGGGGCACCTCTGTGTTCTTGCCCTTCATATATTTCGTGTATTTCTTGTTTTGCTGTGTGACCTAACTAGATCCCTCTTTTATTAAGAGCCATATTCCGGGACTCTGGATCCTTTCTCCTCCTTTTTTGGTCCCTTCTCCTCCTCTCTCTGTCCAGTTCCATTCCAGGGTCTATACCTTCCCTCACGGCTGCGGCACAGCACAGCAGGTACCTGTGGGGGACCTTGTATAGTTTATCACATGCTGCTGTCACACACACACCCCCCCCCCCCCCCCCCCCCCCCCCTTCCCCCCCCCCGCCTCCTCTCCCCCCTTTCACCCCCCCCCCCTCCCCCCCCCCCCCCCCCCCCCACCTCCCTCCTGTCCTTTTCCTTCTGCGAATTCTGCTGCAGCTTTACACCTCTCGTGCTTGCTCACACCCACATCTTTCCTTCTGCTGCTTCTCTGGGGCAATATTTCATTTAAGGCTTCCACTTGCCTTACATCATTTTTGAGGTCTCAGGCAAGCTCATGCATGCTCCTCCACTTCTCCGTCCTGTGCACTGCTCAGCAACACAGCCCCCTTCTCCCCTCTCACCCACAGCAGACATCACTCCAGGATCATGCTGGCTTCCTCCTGCTCCCTGCCCCCACCCACCTGCAGCTTGAATCTGCTTTCTCTTTGCACTAGGAAGTCACACCCAATGAACCAAAGTCGACACATAAAGTGATTACTTTTTACTTTGCACTCTAGGAAAAAACCTCTTAGTAGTGATCTAATATGCCCCTAACCTTTTTCTCTCCCTTCTCCCTATGTCAGGGCCACTCTCCCCTGAATTCCATTGCTCCTACATTTTCCTGCCTACCTTGAATCCTTCTCTCATTTCCCTGCACTTTAAATTTTACCTTTGCTGTAATAAAAATAATCCCTTCATGAAGTCTTGTGTCTATGTGTCATGTCAAAGTAGGTTCTGCTCTCTAGAGCCTTACATTCTGAGAGCACAACCCAGAAATCTGCCTCTCACACAGTCACCATCCAGCCAAGGAAGCATAGGCTTAAAGGCCCAGCGTGGGTCCTCCAAGGCGGTGGGAAGGAAGGGAAGGAAAGAGCGGCCCTCTCTGGGCACTTGCCCATCACCTCCTCTTGCTTTCCTGAAAGTTGGGCAGGAGCTGCGGTGATTTCATGTCTGAAATTGAGCAGAGCTTGTTGGGGTGATGCCTCAGCCCGTGCCTCATTTGGCGATGACCCCTGAAATGTGCTTGGGGGATGGGGACAGTGACTTCTTTTTTTCCCATAGGGAAATTTGGGCTTCAGAAATAAAAGGGCAGCAGGGCTGTAACACAAAGTTATTCATTCCACCTTCTTACCCTTGGTGGGAGCCAAGTTTATATAGAACTGAACATTTAATACCTTGTGGTATTTGTTGACTTCCATTTACTCATAATCTTGCTAATTTTAAGCACATTAATAACCAGCAGCTGCACTTCAGAGCAGTTCTTTACGTAATCTGAAAGGGAAAACAAGCACTAAATATACTCTGGCCTACCAGGCATCATAATAAGCCAAATTTTTTAACTCCTTGTAAACAGGTATATGTGGCTTAACTCCTAGATTTTTAACCGAAGATTACTGTTGGCTAGCTGTGGGTGTTGATGTGACAGTCAGGTTCTGAGGGCAGTCCAGCTCATGGCACTGCCCTCTAACTTTGTTTCCACCCCAGCTTCTGCCTGCTGAAGCATTAACATTTCTGGCCCCCACCAGCCCTCCCTTTCTGTTGTCTGCCTACATGAACTTGAGCAGTGGTGGCAAGTCCCTCAAGTGGCATGGAGTGGCCCCTTGTGCCTGTTCCTCCCTGCCTCAAGCTAGGCAAAGGTTAGTTGTTAAGATGTCAGTTTGTTGTTACAGTGTTTAACATTTGTATTCAACAAATCATCACCTTAGTAATTACTCAGAGTATTAGACTGCCATAACCCAAAACCAATCCAAAGAGTCCTTGAGAAGGAGAGTAATGCCATAGCACCCTGAAATCACCTTCCTGTGTTAACTCCGTGTGAGTCACCTGGTGCTCACATGTCATCTGATTTGATGCTCACACCACCCTGGATACATCCGAATGGAAACCAGTGGCCACCACTGGGATGCAGGGAAGACGTGGCCAGGGATGCATCTGTGTCTCACCAGTAACAGAGATACAGAGAGTCCACAGAGACTGGGGTCAGATCCTGGCTCCCAGTGTAGACAAAAATAAGACCTGCTGTCCCCTCTAATAGGAATAAACATCCCTGGTCTGTCCCCTAAAACCAGCAATCTGTTGAAGTAAGACTCTTCTTCCCATCCTGAATCCCTGGACTCTGTGAGGGAGAAGTGGACGCTGGAGCTGCCCTGGTCCCACTGTGGACACCAGACAGACATAGTGCTTCAGTGCAAAACCAGCTTTCCCAGGACACTCATTACTGGAAGAGAGGTGGTGGGAAGTTATTAAAAAAACGAAGAAAGACTGGACGAAGTCAGTTCCTATTTCAGGTCAGCTTTAGAACAGCCACTAATGGCTTGCTAGACTAGAAGTTGATTCCAGTAGCAAATGGCTTACAAATCTATTGTGGCAGCAGGGAATGGGTGAGTTCTTGCATGGTTCTCCTGGGGGCACAAGAAGTCTCTTATCCCTTGTCCCTTCCTGCAGGTGAGTTCTCGGCCTCGGACAGCTCCCTTACTGACATCCAGGAGACCCGAAGGCAGCCCATGCCCGACCCCGGCCTGATGCCCCTGCCTGACACTGCTGCGGATTTGGACTGGTCCAACTTGGTAGATGCTGCCAAAGCCTACGAGGGTGAGTCCACCAAAGATCCAGACAGGACAGCTCAGGATCCTGCAGGGCCACACTGAAGTGGGCAGGTGGTGTGATCAAGTCTGTCCACTCTGCCTCTCTGGACACGTTGACAATATACCACCTCACCAGCGCAGCCAGAAACCAGTTGAGCTAGCAGTTACTGAGCACTTAGTAGGGGCCAGACCCTCGGCTGGGCACTTAGGCACATATTGTTTTATTAAACGAGTTGGACCCAGTATTTCCTCTCCATAAGAATTCATAGCACTAATGCCTCACCTCCTCTGTGTATGGGAAGGGCAGAGCGTAGAGGAATCCCAGCTGTCACTTGACTGAAAAGAACATGTATCCAGAGAGGGCTTTCCATCATGTCGTAAAGACGTTGCTGCTAGCGCACAGTCAATGCGTCAGGCTGCTCATCCTCCTCGGCCGTGCCCCAGTCCCTACACATGTGTCCCTTTGCCGACCTGCTGGCCATGTGCGTGCTTTACGCTGGTGGTTCCTAAACGCAGGTGCTCACCCTGGTGCTGGTTTGGTCTGCCAAAATAAAGAAGCTAAAAGTAATGCGGTGTGTGTATTGACATAAAGTCATCAACTGTCCTTTTTTTCAGTAAAGACTGGCTTTTTTCTAACATTACCAATCTAAAATTTTTGGTACATAAATGTTCTTTATAAAATTATGATAGCAAATGATTGGTTCTTTTGTTTTTATTGCTCTTACTTGGGGGAATTTTTGAACATTGCTATTTATTCAGTCAGGTGCCAATTTCAGGGGGGAATTTACTGGCCACAGAATTCAGAAGTCGGGCAACCATGGAGCAATCAGCAACTAATCCCCATCGCTTAACCTCAGTGTTTATTTAGCTGATGGAAATTCCCCAGTACTAACTGGAGTTTTTCAATTTGTTGGTCAATCTTCTTCATATAAAATGGTAGAAATTTTTTTTTAATAAGAGATTTTTTTATATTTTGATTTTGTCTTCTTGGCTTAAATTGTAAATTGGTATATTTTGAAACAGATTGTGAATTGAAGTTAAAGCCCACCAAAGTGGCCAACAATCTTGTGGAAAACATACTTAAAGAAGTTACAAGAAGCTTAGTACTAGCTCTTTAATGCATTTGTATCATTGCTGAGTGGAAAGCTTTGGTATAGAAGTTTGGCAGGAGACCTGTTTCTATAGAAACATTTTAACAGAATGATACTTTAATGAACAAGGGAAAAGGGAGACTAAAAATTGATTCACGACTGTTTCTTAAAGGGAAATTACAACGCTGCTATCCTCTTACAGCTAAAACAAATATTTTTCCTCATGAGGGATGGGAAATAAGATTTCCAGTGCATCCCTGCACATTGATCAGACTTGGCTGTCAATGTAGACCATTGGTTGACTCTTGATAGATAGGGCCTAGGGATGTGGTTCCACAATACTGAGTGGTTTCTTATCTCCATTCCAGTCCAGAGAGCCTCATTTTTTGCTGCTAGTGATGAAAACCATCGCCCCTTGAGTGCTGCATCCAACAGTGATCAGCTTGAGGACCAGGCTCTGGCCCAGATGAAGTCTTACAGCAGGTTGGTCAGCCGGTGGTGAGGGCACGACTGCACCATGGGTCACACCTGCTAGTGACAGATGTGGGGACGAGGAGATGGAAGCCACATGGATTAGTTGATTGAAGCTCATCACTACAGTACTAGACACTTTACATTTTAGAAGGCTTTGTAACCAAATATTATAAACACCGTTAAACAGTTCTTGAAGACTTCGGTCATAATTATGAATATTCATTATTATTTAACCCCATAATGTGCCCTCAGGGCTTACTGGATAAGGGAAGAGAAATCATTGGCACTAAATGTCCCTGGGCTCCTGTGCTATTTAGTCCTTGAGTCTGGTTTTTAGTGTCTTCCCAGCTGTCACTGATGGTCATGCTTATGAATATGCCTGCATCTCAGCAGCTCCCAAATATGCTACTTCAGATCTGCTATATTAGAAAGCTGGTTCACTAGGTTAGTTAAGATTATATGTAACATAAAAGGTAAATAAGCAATAACTGAGGTCCAGAGGGTTTTCTTCTGAGCAGAGAGCATGGACTTTATGACTTCTATTTACCTGTGCAGAGGACTGACTTCTCCATTTTCCTCTCAGTTTCAAATGGTGATGTTGTTAGATAATGTGTGATATTTCTATATATTAAAGCATCCCAGCAGTCAGCTGTGGACTATTTAGTAAGCACTTTTAGAAGCAGAATCATTTTATCAATTTGAAATCTGTTCCCTTAAAACCTTTTGAGATGATTAAGAATCCAGGTATCTGTAAAACTTCGTCAGAAACGGATCATAACAGGAAAAGCGAGATTGATCTAGATTGCACAGATGCACTGTGGGACTTGTGCCTGAGGACTTCTCTGAACAAGTGTGCAAGGAAGTGCTCTTAGTGGAGAAGGTGCACAAGTAATGAGTGAATTGTTTTTTTAGGATGGCAGCAGGTAGATGCTGCATCCGCTCTTATCACTGGGACAGATGGCAGATGAGGAGAATGGCAGTTAGTTTGGCTGGGAACTTTTAAAAAAAATATCTCAGGGGCCGGCCCGGTGGCGCACTGCTACAGTGCGCCGCTTGGGAGCGCGGCGGCGCTCCCGCCAAGGGTTCGGATCCCACGTACAGACCGGCTGCTCACTGGCTGAGCGAGGAGCGGGTGCAGCACCGAGGGTTGCGATCCCGTTGCCAGTCCCGGTCCGGTACGGGCGCGACACTGAGGGTTGCGATCCC